ACTAGTAATGTTCTCCAAATATAGTGTCTTGTTTGGCAAACTATCTTTTCAGAGGAGGATTATTAAGACACTGTAAATTACTACCAGAGAGCAAAAAGAAACAAGTTAACTAGTGGAGGGTATATGTCACACATATCCTTTTCTTACAACATGCCCCAGTTTTGTTTTGAAAAACAACTTTGCCCTCTGCTTCAGTCTATTTTAAAACAGACTGAACATCTTCAGACAACAGCCCCCAAAACAGCTGATATAATTTAGGGGGTTTTGTTCTGTTTTGTTTTGTTCTTTTAAAGTAATTTGAAACAGGTTCACTGATGCAGTGAGAGCTACTGTAATTATACATTATATTAGATTGTCATACAAATACAAAGCAAGGCCTAAGAAGAGTACAAAGCACAGTGGTATCTCAGTAATACATGAACAAGTATCTAAATATTTTCAAACCCCAACATTTCAATAGAAATATTTTATCTTACAGTGGGTTTTGGTTCTAAACTTACAGGAGCATGACAAATTCTTGTGAGCAGGAAAACCACTGAGCATACTTCAAATAACATTCACCATAATTAAGAAAAGGCATCACCTTCCAGGAAAAAAAAAAATAATCAATTAACCTCACTTTGATTATAAAATCTGTGCACCAGAAATTTAAGATGAGCATTTTATTAGTAGGACTGGCATAACATTAGGATAAAACATGATAACTTCTTTGAAAACAAAAATGGAAGAGGTCCCCATGGCAAAAGCAGGGACAGGAAGGCACTTTAAAAAACACAGAATTATAGAATAGAATCATAAGATGGTTTGGGTTGGAAGGGACCTTAAAGACCATCTAGCTCCAACCCCCCTGCCATGGGCAGGGACACCTCCCACCAGACCAGGTTGCTCCCAGCCCCGTCCAGCCTGGCCTTGAACCCTTCCAGGGAGGGGGCAGCCACAGCTCCTCTGGGCGACCTGTGCCAGGGTCTCACCACTCTCACAGTGAAGAATTTCTTCCTTATATTTAATCTAAATCTACCCTCTTTCAGTTTAAAACTGTTACCTCTTGTTCTATCGGTACGCTGCCTGATAAAGAGTCCCTCCCCATCTATCTATAGGCCCCCTTTAAGTACTGGAAGGCCACTATAAGGTCTCCCCGGACCCCTCTCTTCTCCAGGCTGAACCCCAATTCTTTCAGCTTGTCCTCACAGGGGAGGTCTTGAGCCCCATGATCTCCTTCTTGGCCTCCTCTGGACCCACCTGAGCAGGTCCATGGCTTTCTGTTGTGGTTCCATTCCAAAGGGCAATTGAGCACCAGGCAACTGTTCACTCCCCATTTCCCCTTCAAGAATGGGAAAGAGAAAATTAAGTAAAAGTCTGGACATCAAGACAAGGACAGGAGGGATGCCTCACCCATTATGGTCATGGGAAAAAGACAGACTCCTCAGGAAAGACAAAGAACATTGTTTTAATTCAAACACTAACAACACTTGGCAGAATGTGACAGTGAGAAGCACTACCACATCTTAAAAACACCTTCCCCCACCCTTCCCTTCTTCTGGGCTCAGCTTTGTTCCCAATCTCTCTACCTCCTCCCCCTGAGTGGTGCAGGGGCAGGGAATGTGGGAATTGGGGGGTGTAGTCAGTCCCACCATTTGTTCCTCCTTGGGGGCGTGGGGGGGGGACACACATGACACACCCCCACACACACCTCCTTGCACTCTTCCCCTGCTCCAGTGTCGTGTCCCTGTCACAGGAGACAGTCATCCACAAATTTTCTCTGAGTTGAGTCCTTCCACAAGCTGCAACTCTTCCCAACCTGCTCTGGTGTGGGTCCCTCCCATGTGTTAAAATACTCTCAGTGTCTGTCCTGGGTTTGAGTGATTGGTGGGGGTTTTTGGTAGCAGGGGAGGGGGCTATAGGGGTGGCCCCCTGTGAGAAGCTCCAAGTCTGCTCCACGTCTACATCAAAACTGAGCCAATCAGCTGCGCCTCTGTGACAACATATTTTAGAAGGAATGTGATGAGGAGGAGTCAGACTTGTGAGGAGGAGTTGTGGCAGTTGCATGAACACCAAGGTCAGTGGAGGAACGGAGGAAGAAAGGAGGGGGGAGGTGTGCCGGAGCAGAGCCCCCCCTGTATCCTGTGGTGAGACGGCAGGGCGGCCCCCCCTGCCACCCATGAAGATCTACAGTGGAGCAGACACTGATTTACAGACTGTGTTTTTAGTAAATCCTCCTGTACCTCAAAGATCTGTGCTGTCATCAACTATATTAAGATGATCTGAAATCTTCAGAGAAGCCACAGACCACTTTTTTAGACTTGAAATTAACGAAGACTAATTTTGAGTAGATTTTCATCACATAACACTTATATTAGCCGGTTCTTTAGTTTTATTCTTTTTCACAAACCTTCAATAAAGTACAGTGAAAATGATTCAGCAAAGGAAGCAGTACCTTCAGATAAAACATCAGCCCCTTCAGAGAACAATGACTGTCAGGGTTGTGAAGGCCTCTGCATTGCTATTCCATTATCAGGTTTTTTACTCTTTAAATTTTAGACTCTAATAATTAAATCTGGATAAAAAGATGGGTAGGACTGCTGACAAAGAGGGTCAGAGCACTGCAAATGGACAGCTTGCATTAACCTAAATTAAGAAATAGTAAAGACATAGCTGAGTAGCATCTCGGCAACATGTTTGCATCCTCACACCAGCCCAGCAGCTCTTTCTTTCATCTGTGATTACCTGCTTTGCTTACAGCTACAGCGGCTAACGAGCACACCCGAAGGTTACAAGAGCTTTCTGCTGTTTTACAGCTGTGCACTGACTGATGCCTTCCTCACCTAAAGGCAGTAACAGCATAATCTCAAGCAGCTCAAAACCAGTGACTTTCTGAAGGAACACACACCAAATCTGGAGTAATAACAAACCCGGCCTCCGAGGAGCAACCCATTTTAAAAATCATACACTTCATTCTCCAGTGAACAGGAGAAGAGATCTCTGCAGCAGTTTGGCACGTCAGCAGGAGTTTTCAATCAGAGCAAGGAGATATAAAACCATAGTTTCCTCACCTGGCATCAAGGTCAATGATTTAAAGAGAAGTGTGTGGGCAGAAGACAGAGGTGAATCAGGAGAGGTACATAGTAGCTAAAGGAAAATGACTGAAGAGAGGTGCGTAGTCATTAGCAATTTCTGTGTGTATATTTTTCCAGCTACTGTGTGAGGACATGAGAAAAGTTGCTACAGCATGAAACCAGAGTGCGTTGGTGAAGAGTTGGTGTAAAAGGAAGTAAATAGAAAACTGGCCCCCCACCTTCCCCCCACACACACTTGCTGCTGTCTGCAGGTAGCAAAGAGTGAAGCACACAATTTAATACGGCATAGTGCTGCTTCTCTGTTCTGACTGCTCTTTCAGAAAAACATATGTGGGCTGTGCAGGACTGCCATGAAAATATTCCCATGGCAACCATGAAAAACAAGGGTATATTAAAAGCTGTTACACTAACTCTTTCACTCCAACTCATTCAACAGAGGGAACCTGTAGCACTACTTGCTGTACAAAAACACACCACTGGAAATGTTTTTGTTTGGAATGCATGAATAGATAGTTACCACTGGATAATTTTCTGTAATCACCGTGAAACATGGTGTAAATTAAGAACTAGCCATAATACTGTGTTCAGAATCAACTGTGCTTTATAGAAAATAGATGGTTAATTTTTGCTAATTGCATAAACATACTTGAAATATTAAATAATTATTCAGCAGTTAGTTTATCAGATAATCATCCTTAGGGAATAATGCCAATGATTTTGGTCACTGCATTTTCTATATCATTCAAATAGCATGCTGCACACCTTACTATAATGGTTAAACAGATACATAGAATTACATACAAATAATTAGTGGAAATTGAAAGCCATGGAAAAACCAGATTAATAAAATCATGTTTTGTAACACATCTTGAGTAATTTGTTTGCAGTTTGGCAAGAGATACTTCTTGGATCTGTGAACATGTGCATACTCATTTTGCAGCAAGGAGATTTAACATTCAGCACAGGAGCTATCACTGCATCCCTCTCAGCGCTAACTGGCCAAAAAGCAACTATTCAGTATGTCAAAGGCACAGGGGGAAAAAAAAAAAAAAAATCTACTGTGCATCCACAATTTATTTGGCATGTGTACTTCAAAACAAAACGCAGAAGAGAGAGATTCACTTTGGGCAGGCACTGAGGTTTTCTAGCCAGGATTTGGTTAAAAACAGCAGATTGCCACTCAGTGCAACAAGGCTTCCAGGCCTGCTGTCCATTTCTGCTAGACTGCTCATGCTCTCAAATCCCTATCAGTGCGGAATGAGGAACCAGAAACTTACTGAACGATCCAGCTCAGTTCAGTCCTTTTTTTTTTTTTTTTTTTTTTTCCTTTATGCTTCTACCTGCTCTAAACAGAAAGCACCCCAAGATTTTCATTAGTCACGTGTGAGCGAGGGCCCCTTCGTACCACCCCCGGCCTCAGTGCAGGGGATGTACACCCTCGCCTGCTCAAAACTTACAGGGACTCCAGTAAGAATTACACAGGCTCAAGGGGATGCCGGGGCTGGACAGTGGAAGAACCACCATAATAAATTTTAAAAATAATACAATATGAAAAAAAAAAATATAATAAAATACTGCCCGCGCCATGTGGCATTCATCCCGAATGACGGGGACTCTACCCCGCCAGCTTCACCGAGCCGGCGGGGTAGAGGTGCGCTCGCACCTCGGGCTCCCCGGCGGAGACCCGCTCGGCCCGAGGCGGCGGCGAGCACCAGCGCGGCTTCTCCCGCCGCCGCCGCCGCCGCCGCCGCGATGCTGCCGCCGCCCCGCCGCTCCCACCGCCTCCCCCGGGCCGGGCGGCCCAGCGGCCCCGGGGGGGTGACGGCGCCCAAGCAGGCTGCGCCCCGGGTGCCGCCACCCCGCCCGGCGCCCCGGGGGGCTGACAGGACACCCCCCCACACGCACACCCCGGGCCGCCGGACCCACCTGAGACGCCGCCCCCGACCACGACCACGTCGTATCTCTCGGCCATGGCGCTGCCCCCCCGCACCTTCCGCCCGCTCCCTCCCGCGGCGGCTCTGCCCCGGCTCTGGCGTCCCCCGGGCGGACACCGCCTCGCCCCGCCTCGCTCCGCCGATGGGCACCGCCTCCCGCCGCCCCGTCTGGGACCGAGGGCTGGCGGCGACGCGCCCCTCCGCCTCCGCGGGGCTGTGAGGGGGCCCGCCCGGCGAGGGGTCCGCCGGGTGTGGGGGCCGGCCCGGTTCCGCGGGCCCGGGGTGGGCGGCTAACAGCTGGGGGGCCGCTGACCCCCTGGGTGGTGGTTGACCCCTTGCCTCGCCCCCCACAGACGGGAGCCCCGCGTCTTGCTGTTCTCTCTCCCACCTGCCAGGGGACTTGGGGAGCCTGGTTGAGGAGTGCAGCCCCCAAGGCGCAGCGGCTGTGGGGTGGCTGCCCTCCGTGCTCCAAAGGCTGTGGAAATGTTGGAGTCAACTTCTGCATCCGCTGCGGCTGCCCTGGGGCCACCAGAGGGGACCTGTGGCTACCCAGGCTGGCGGTACGGACACTGGAACAACAGTTAATGCTTTCCTTGAGAGCGCCTCAAAATGAGCAGCGCCTTGTGCCAGCCGCAGTTTGTGCTGTGCGACGGTGGCATGCACCAGTGTTCTTCCAGATCGGCTTCCACGCTGAGTGGTCTGCTGAGACCCCCAAGACACTCACCCACGGGGAAAAGGAACTGGCTTGTCCAGAAGCAACAGTGTCATCAATTCACTTGGAGCCTTTAGGCTGGTCCCCTACAAACCCAGCATGGATTTGCATCGCTCAGGTTTCTACTTTGCCACGAGGGTGGCTCCAGGAGGACTGGCTTTGGGGATGGTCAAAACATGCAAACATATTTCATCAGGTGTATCTGTACAGTCCACAGCCAGCAGTCATGTCAGTCATATCCAACCTTCCATGCTCGGTGGGCTCAAGGCAGAAGGTACCCAGCTCCAAGACTCCTCTGAGCCAAAGACACATGTTCAGTCTGTGTCATTCTCCATCTCCTGGAGCCATACATCAGAAGAAACAGACCATGAGAGTCTGGACAGGATTCCCTGTCCCTCTTCCATAATGCCTCAAGTGATTTTTGATGGTGTACAAAGACAGGGGCACCTGTAATGGGAGTCACATATATTGACTACAGTAGGTGCAATCCTGCCTTTGTAGGGAGAATGGGAGGGGAGAAAATATAGGGGTCAGGAAACAGAATAAAAATAGGTCTAGGTCAACTGTCCGCAAAGCTAATAATCATTCATGGGCCCATCCTCACTTTCACTGCTGGGAACAGTTCCTGCTCCATACTGTTTCTCGTGTCCTGCTCAGGCATTGTGTGGCACTGTTCTGTTTGGCACGGGCCACACAGTGCCAGGAGGCTTGCTAACAGGTAGTAAGGTGATCATAGGGCACTATGATCATCTGAGCACGTGTCCTGGACATGTTTAATTTGCTAGGAGACCTGTGTCCTGTATCTCATGTAAAGTGGATGATAGTTTATTCGTGGGCACTCAGTTTAATGTCCAGTGCTAAGGCTCTAGCATCTTCCTGAGACCCCAGGATGAAATATGCTTCATCTTACAAGTATACTGTCTAAGAAGCATTCTCATGTTCCCTTGTATTTTTCATAGAATTACAGAATGGTTTAGGTTGCAAGGAACCTTTGAAGATCATCAAGTCCAACCCCCCCTACCATGGGCAGGGACATCTTGGGTTGCTTGAAGCCCCATCCAACCTGACCTTGAACACTTCCAATGATGGGGCATCCACAACTCCTCAGGGCAACCTGTTCCAGTGTCTTACTACTCACTACTCACTATTCACTACTTTTTTTAATCCCTTTTCCAGCCCTCTCCACCTGGATAACTCCTCTCCTTGTATCTTACCCACTCTTTCTCCAAGCTGTGTGCCAACCAACAGACGAAGTCCAGACTTTAGGACAAAAGCCCCTAAAACTTGAAGAATTAATGAACTACACCCCATGATGTCAGCATAAGGGAAAGTTTAGGTTAAAGGAAAAATTAAATTTTTAAAAATCCAAAGATTTTTAAATCTAGAAGATTTAAAATAGAGAAAGAGCAGTATCTAGCTGAAACTAGTTTATCACAGTTCTCAATATCTGAAGTACAAAAGTTTCATTTGATTTACCTGGTATCTTTATTACTTTGTGACTATTAGATTAATAATTACACCGGTGAAACCCAGAAAACACCTGCAACACTCCTCTTTAAGGGAAATGCAATTCCTCCATGATCATGAGTATTCTGTTTTGGTTGGAAGAAGGCATGCCAGAGAGGCAAGGGGTGTCAGAGGGGTAGGGACTGAGCCACCATCTGGAGGGCCAGGTCACCTCTTGGAATATACAAGGAAATTCATTAGAAGGCAAGGGTCATGTGGTATTGTTTCTTGTTATACACTTAGAAAGATGCTACATTTATTATTTCTGAAGTTCAGGCTGGTTGCTGGTAAAAAGAGAGATTAGGGTAGATAAGGGGAGAAGAAAAAGAGTAAAAGAGGAAGAGGAGAGGGCAGTGGCCCTAATTTATTTGCCTCTTGTCTGTGCGTATTTTTTTAATTCACTTTTAGTTTTCTGAATGTGAGAAATCAACCAATACATTTCAGAACTTGAACTAAATTTCTTTCTGAGGATGCTAGTCCTAAGAAGTAGCTAGCTTGCACGTACATTCCTTTTGATGGGGTCAGAAATAAGCTGCTTTGCCATACCTAATGTGGTTAATGTCTAGGATATTTTATTGTATATGATATTTGGGTCTCATTTCATCACTGTAGTTATGAATATTGTAACTGTGGTTAGGTGCTGTATCTGGAACTGCAGTTCCTGATGATTTTAGACATTTGCTTCTATTTTACACTGGTGAAGTCTGCTTTGATCAAACTGATATTTTGCTTTAAAAAATTATGAATACTTGTGAAAAAAAAATATTGCTCCTTACCCTACTTTTCTCTATTGCTCTTGCTCCTTATCTGAGGTCTGTTCTCTAGATCTTTGCCTAGCTGCTTGCTTACCCTTTTTGTTTACTTTTAGATGTGATCTCTTCCTTGTTAAGGCCATAAATGTATCAACTTCTTACAAAAGAAAGCAGTCTAATGAGACCATCTATATTTTTACTTTTATTATTGCATTTCTACCTAGAAGATATGTGAAGACAAGAAGCTTTGCCTCATTAAAATTGTCATAAATATCTCCCTTTCAAAACAGCTTTTCTGAGTGATGCTTTCTCTGCCTGAAGCAATGCTAGATGATTGATCATTTACAGGGAGAAATTCCTTATCTTTGAGAGAAGTAGTTAATGGAGAAGAGAGAAAGAGGTCTCTCCAAATGACCTGAATAAAAAGTTATTGGGACACTGATGAGACTGAATTAATAGAAGATGCCACTTTTTAGTTTCTGCTCAGAAATACATATTCTTACTGTGATTAAAAGAATCTGTCTGATTCAAGGATGGTTAAATCAAACTCCAAGACTTCATACTGAGAAACACACAATTATCAAATGGCTGTCAGAAATTATAGTTGTAGAGATTACTTCAAACCCCACATGAAACACTAAAAGGTAGGGGAGGCTATTCAAAAAGCAGAAGCAGGTAATTTTATTTGGGCTATTGGCAAAGGTAGCTACAGTTACATCTATATACTTAATGCCAAGTGCCACAGATTCCCAATGTCCACAATATGTAACACTTATTCCTGGAATTCCTCTGGTCCCTATCTTCCTCCCGTGGCTCTAAGGAATACTTTTTTTTTTTTTTTTTAATGTGAGTGTTTGAAATGAAGGGCTATATTGCCTGCAGTTGAGGGTATGTAGTGCATGCCCTAGAGTCACATGAAGGTCCACGGGAGTGTTTGAGGGCACGAAGTGCTCAAAGGGCTGCTGTTGAGATACAGCAGAGCAAACTTCTGTGTCATTAAGTCTGGTCCTCTATCATCATGGACACATTATATAACCCTTCTAATGAATAAATCTAGCTCTGTCTAGAGCAGGCCAAACCTCTCCCAAAGCCAGGTTGGTAGTTTTTCCCTCCTCTCCCACAATAACTCTGTTTCAAATGTTTATTTTTTCCATCTCAATAGCTTCTGCTTCCAAAATGTTTACACCATCAAGCATTTAAACCAATACCATATTCCTCTTTCTGCTTTTCTGCTTGCAATGTTGACGCTTGTCAAGCACTTTGGTATCCTCACATACTGGGATACACATTTGCTGATCCTAATAGTTCAGTCCAAAAGTATACATAATCTTAACAAAGCCTCTTTGATGGCATAAAGATTTTTTTGTCTGGAACCCGCTCTCTTCTAATCATATTAGGATTCAGTTTCTGTTTTTTGTAGTCCCATTACTTCTCTCATCCCATGTAGCTCTAACTGAACAGATAAAGAACCTTTTGCCTGGATTTTGGTGCATTATCCTTTGGACACAAAATGTTAAAAGCAAAGCAAACTTTCTGAGAAAACAGTGCAACCAAGAGCCCCCACATTTCCTTACCTTGGAAGAGAACTCATCTGAGACAAAATATATTGTTTTCATAAATTTTGATAGGCACTTAGACACTGTGGCAATGAGACGGCATAAATAGCTATGCAGTCTGGTAGAAAATGTACTGACAGCCCTGGACTAAATTTTGAGAAATTAGTGGAAAGTTGATGGAGCAGGGGTCAAAGCCAAAGATCTCCAAATTTAAAAGGCTGAGGTAGAATTTAGGAACATGATTCATGACTGTCTGGTCAGTGGCTGGTAAAACCACAGTGGCATTTTAAATTACACATTCTCTCAGCTTCTTCTCCTTAAATAGCAGTGCATTTAATAAGCCAGCTTTTCGTTGTTTTTTATGTGCTACAGTCTCTCTTCATCATATTTGGTGGGAAAGCCCCTGCTTCAGAACAAGCCAGTTTTCCCTGCTGAAATTTCCTGCTGACAGGTAATACATGTTGACATCACCTTTAATCAAAGAGTCGGAATGGATTCCTGTTACCTGCAAGCTGTATTAGCGCCTGCATCGCTAGGGTGCTTCAGCAACAGT